GACGCTCTCTCTCTCTCTCTCTCTCTCTCTCTCTCTCTCTCTCTTTTTTCTTAGCTGAAGAAGGCGCATTGTCATTATAATTGGCTCCTTTTGTATTTCGCGTGCGATCTAACCGCCCGGATACTCGAGCGCGAGCGCAATGGTACACGCTCTTCTCTCTTCCTCTCGTTGCGATTCTCTCTCGAGGATCCCCTGAGACAGTCGGCCTCGACTCGCTCCCTCGGGAACCCTCTGGGTGGCCGGAAAACATAAAAGTGAAAACAGATCGCTCGTTCTCTCTCCTTCTCCACATCTCGTATTTGCTCTCCTTCTTCGTAGAAACCGTTGCTCGACCTCCACGGGAGAAGAATCTGCGCGAAGTTCGCGTGCGAGTCTTCTTCGAAGGAAAGCTCTCTCGATCGATCTTGAGTCGCATTTGCACAGAGATAGATTTGCGCGGTCCAGCTTCCCTTTTCCAATGCACTCGGCATCGTTATCCTCGAAATTCTAGCAATGATCACGTCCGAGAAGTACGTCCGTACTTACGATCGAGCTCTTCAGAAACCACAAGGTTTCACTATTTATACATTCGTGCATACACAAATATGCATACGCGTATTATTAGCGACTTTTTATTCCTAAAAAAGACGGCTATGAATACGCTTCTAAGTGCCATAAGTACCTAACTCGCAACTTGCAATATTTGTGTTACTATCGAGCTACCAGGATTATATCTGCTAAGTCCATACCTGCTTCATTTAAACGATGTGTAAAAAAATTATGGGTCGAGCAACCTGACGCCAATGACGTAGCCCCGATTAGAAAAAGTTTTATTACCATTTACGTCGTAAGTGGACAGCTAGAAAAAGATTGCAAAACTAATTCGCTCTTGCAAAATTGAGTCTTGCGCAAGAAATACGATATCAGTTACGCCGAAATACGATATCAGTTTGAGTTAAGGAAAAAGGGGCGATCGTGTGTAGGACTCTCTTGAATTCTTTCTCGCAACTTTGATACACTTTTGAAAGAGAAGCGCCGGTTGAAAATTGGCACGGCTCGGCTCGGCACGATTCGGCGCGTTTCACGGAACGATCACCCCTCGTTGCAATTTGCATTTTCTTCTGCTCGGCGAAAAGGAACGTCCCGCTTCACCGATGATACCCGTTACATGTTACATGTTCGACGCGGCCGAGTAATAGGGATATTTAAATTGATCACCCTATCTCACGGAACTTTCACTTATTCGTAATTGGATGTCAAATTGGCCGATATTTCCTCCCGCCACTGCGGTAGAAACTTCGCTCGTGGCAATGAAGATAAAAATTCCAAATTAACGAGAGATCGATGCGATTTAATTTTTTTCTTTCTTTCTGGAATGTTCGATAACACGATACAATGTGCGAACTATGAATAGCTTCCAAGTTCTAACGAATCAGGAAGTGTCAGGAGTATATCAGAATTTCATTAACGCGCGCGAGGAAGGGAACGTGTATTGTCGGCATCGCATCGCACTAAATACACAATCAATCGGATCGGGGATCAGCTCTTTAGCAACGTTTAGCGGATGCGGAATGCGACGCGATTTGACGCGGCGCCCCAGTTTCGAGCGAGCGAACGAGCGAGCGACGACAACAACGGAAGGGAAAGGGAGAGAGAGAGAGAGAGAGAGAGAGAGAAGAGGGGTTATCTCGGCTACCATTGCGATGAGACACGATAATGGCCAATAAAAATACAAATTTTCTGACGCACACCGAAAGGAGGTATTTACCGCGCGGATATGATTGATGTGGTAGAACGCCCACCGAAATACAACGGCGCGTTTCGCCGGCCGTTAAAATTGATGGCCGTGTATAATTTACGAAATCAACAAGCCGTGACGTGCAATACCGGGGTATATACGCCGCGGCACGGTGCAGCGCGAGTGTGTGCTTTGTATGTGCTTAATCCCTACTTACTTGCCGCGAAAACCCTTTTATTTCTCGCCATCCTGGGGCTCTCTTTCTCCCAGGTCGTTGCCACGGAGCCGTAAGAGCAGAGAAGACGATGACGATAGCGGTGGACGACGGCGCCAGTGCCGCCTTTTTAATTCCCCCGCACCTGCTCGTTGCCCCTCGTCCTCCCTTGGTTCAGCATCACAACCACCACCACCACCACCACCACCATCACCACCACTATTATCACTACCACCATCACCACATCCCTCGATTTTTACATTCGATCCATGCGCCGCCGGTTGCGCTAATTAAAATTCCCTCCAGCTTCTCGCCACTCATGCATCACGCCGCCACTAAATCGCGATATTGCAGATATTTAGAAAGGAACTCGATACGCGATGCGACCATTCATTCCGTCATTGTTGGAGCATAAATTTGAGCACAGGATTTTTTAAATTGTGAAAACGGAAAATATAGATGGCTAAATTCAAATTCAAATGGGATGATAGATAAAAGTATTCGGAATCCTCTTTTATCGATATAAAAGTTTTCAATCGGAAGGCTTATAAGTCACTTTTAGAGGCACTCTTATCGATAAACAAGGATTCAGAATCCGAGTCAAAACGTTCGAAATGTCCATTCCATTTCCATGGGAGCCATTTTCACGGAAATCCGTGAGACCCCTTGGATTTTAATTCGCGCACCTCGCGTGCTTTCTGTTTACAGTGGAAACGGCAAACTTGCCAGTTGGGCCGCCATCGTCGGTTTCCTAGTGATGATGTCTCTAGACGTTGGCCTAGGTTAAGGACATCATCCTCAGAGTAGTCACGGCGCGTCCACGCTTTTGCGTATGTGTAAAAATCATGTGGTAACGAGTGTTCACAGTCGCGATGAGGCGTCTCCTCGACTCGCGGCATTCATCGAACAATAGCGTCTTCTCGCGAAGAAGTCGTAAACCGAATGTGCTAGCGATAACGAATGTTCTCCAGTCCCGACATGTGTTTTTTATCCGCCATTATAGCACTTTATTCTTAAAGACTCAGGAAAATCGAACCACCAGTAGCGAAATAAGGAGTGTTGCCAATCGGGGTTGAGACGCACTCTCGTGATTCCTGATAGTCGTCGAGAGAAATAGATGTACAAAATCATATCATGTTGTAAAAACTATGTACGAATTTTGACTCGCTTATCCGTAACTTTATCCTTGATTAACACTACGATAAAGGTTAATTTGTGTAATGGCTCAATTCTTCCTTAAATCGGTAAATCTTTTTCTAGAATGTATTTCACACTTTGAAAATGTCTTCCTGATATCTTGATGACTGCAGAAGTTGAAGACACATAGCCTGGTTGACTGAAATCAAATATCAAAATTAATATCTATCAGGATTCACAGGAGACGGTTGCAATCGATGCAATCGCGAAAACTTTCAGTAGATAAAGCAATTAAAATAAAGCAATGTGCAGCGTCGAGAACTATCAAAAAGGAACAACATCCCGAGTAATTCTTTTTTATTGAATGGACATTAATTCCTTAAATAGAGACAAATTTATATATAAATTTTGATATATATTTTAAATAGAAGATTTTAGAAAGCTTAAAATTTTATTTGTTTTCGTAAATATTTTTGGGTCTTTTTTTTTATATGATTTGACTCGTATCAAGTTATGTAGACTGATCGTCCAAAACTGAAACGTCCAGAAAAGGGGGATTACTACAGGAAAGTATTCCTCATTTTCTGAAAGATTATTATTTTTCTGAAGAATTTGTTTTATTACTTAATCAAATAATAATACTTCCCTGAGTACCGTTAATATTCGCGAGACTTTAATTACGATTTGATCACGGAATTAGTTCGCTCTCGAGTCCGCTCGCATATTTCCGACTGCCCCCTTACTCATTCCACCTTAATGAGAGACCCTTTGTTGCGTAACGCAATTCTGTTCGCACATTTCTGAAACGGAGCTCTCTCTCTCTCTCT